TATATAAATATACTTTTGTACAATCGTGAACCTTTGCAATATTGATACCTTATTATACTATTAAGCAAATTTTGTCCAATCGTTCAGTGCTTTATAGGTGACTTCTACTATCGCACATGTGTAACTGCGTTTGTGATATACCCACATCCCCAACTAGCCATTCATAAAAGTGTATTTGTTGGGAAGTTATCATCATCATCTATTGTATAGTCCAGGAGACAGTGACGATTTTCGGTATTTATTTTCCCAGTCAGCAAGCACGAATAGAGAATTGTAGGATTAGCAATTCTAAGCAAAATTCATATATATTTAGAGGGGGGATCCGATGGGCTGAGGCCGAAAATGCGTCAAAACATACGAGAGCTCGGCCCTTTCTTTCCATTGATAAAAATAGTTTTAGTAGTAAGAGATGTACTGAAGTTAAGTAAAAAAATAGTCTGATTAATCTGTATAGATAATATATTTGGCAAGTGCATAAAATACACTTTCAAACGAGATATGTACACAATTATTTCTACGACCACAATTATTTAAAGAACGTTCCAGGTGTTTTGTATATTAAAGTGTACGCATAGGACACATAAATAAAATCTTATATCACAATGTTTCACCTAAGCAGTTGGTTTATTTATAGAAATTAAACATAATAATTGAAGATATTACAGAAGAAAATAGGGAAATAAATTACATTTCCTTTTACACTTTTATATAATAATTGTTTTATTTAGAATTCACGAATCACTTATTACTCTACATTAATTATAATTATTGTTAGTTTCGTTATGTCAAATCATTTATACTGGAGGTGTGAGGAAAATACAGTGAACTGTGGAACGGGGTGTGACTTTTGGGTTTTAGCTATCTGAGCCAAATTGTCAGCTAAGTGTCCTCTTTTAGAGCACCCAGAACCGAAAACTATATAGGCATATAATGTTTTTTTTTAATTATTTTTTAATATGTATGCATCTTGGATGAGGGCTTTAGGAAGAGATCCTAAGACTGAACACTGACTGCTATAAATGCCGTTTTTAGAGCACATTTCATAGTAAGTGATTTCATTCTAGCAGCAATGAGGAAACGTTTAAAAAACATGCTGTACCATCTATTACTTTAAGACCTCGTCTCTTTAAGTTATTATTACTTCATTCTAATGCATATATTAAAATGGTTTTTAACTTATGTCCTTATGATTAAAAGATGTAGGTATTTTAGTTATGTTATAATAGAAATATATGATACTTTGTATTGACTGACCTACTGGCCACTGGTCATTCCACTTTTACTCCCTTTTTTCATAAATTATAAAATTATTTAAAAACAAATACATACCTAGCTATTTTCTGTAAATTACATTAAAATTTTAGTATTAATACTTTACTAATAAAACTTCAGTTAATTTATCTTATATATATACACAACGGAAGAGTTAATTGGATTTTCTCCTTATTGAGTTTCAAAAATAGTAATTTAACATGATTTAAAAACAAATACATGAAATGGGCAAAATAGGCCTGCAAAGACACTTTGTAAACAATCTCACTTGTATCGATGTGACGTAATGCGCGAATTCAATCTGGCTTACTTTTGTTAATAGATTGGCGTTCCATTTTAAATATACAGTTCACCGGGAAGCGTAAATAGAAAAGCTACTTCAATACGTCCCCCAGGAAGTGACCAAATAGACTAGGGTTTGTATGCGTTATTTGTTCATAAAACCTACTTGAATGTAGCCCTGGATGGTACTGTATTGGAGTAGGTTTTTTCGGTCTATACCCGGCTTAATATTCTGTAATTGCTACTTTAGTACGGCAAGTGTTCCTTTAGTGGTTATGTTTGGTTATGTTTATAACACACGGCGGCTCGGTATTCGTTTGTTTATAAACAAAAAGTGTGTCACAAAACAAGCGGTAGAAGATCAAGAAAAATTATAGTACAACCAACATCTCAAACTGGAAAGCTAGAGGTATTTGGGGAGGAAGAATTCAAGCTGGACGCCCTGCGAAATTACAACACCAAGGCATCAAACAGCGACCCCATAATATAGCATTCAAATTGAGAATAATTTACAGTGTGCCAAAAAATATTAATAAACTATGCAAATAGCACCATACTTACAGGAAAAAATGTCGCTACTTGATTATCAATTATTACTAAATAAAACTTATATCTACAGTAATTTGCCAAAGAACGACCCACAACTACCTCACGCCGAAGAGCTTAAGATACATATTTCAGTTAAGGTGCCAAAAAGCAACCCCATAATATAGCCTTCAATATTAAAAATCATTTACAGTATAACAAATATTAATAAACTATGCAAATATATATGTTTTCTTTTACGCAAGAAAACACGGGCTGTACTGAAATAGTATTTCCGCATGTTTAGGCAGCGTAATAACGCGCAATCCTACTCCAATACGGCACCATCTGATGATATATTCAAGTAGGTTTTCTGTACGATTAACGCATAAAAACCCTAGCCTAGTTGGTCACTGCCTGGGCGACGTATTGAAGTAGGTTTTCTATTTACGCCACCGGGAATAGATTATTTAAATATACACGGACCGGGAAAATAAGTACGAAAAAATTCACTGGCTCCTGGACTAGTACTGTATCGAAGGAATTTTTATGAATGAAACAATATACGACCCTCCACAATTGCGGTCTACTCTACTTCCGCTGTTGTCAGACATTATTTTTTTTTTGACAATTTAAAGACCTAACAGTAATTCAAGCAAACGCAATAACATTACTACATCGCAAACTTGGCATCAATATTTTAATTTTATCCAAATATTGCATTTCTGTCGAGGATCATCCGCGTTGACTTCAGAAATTGTGTAATCTGTATTGGTTATATATATCTATAGTTAAAAGCACGTAAACTTGGCATCAATGTTCAATCCGATTATTGAGTTTCTACCGCGGACACCACCGTTCATTCTTCAAAATTTCTGTAAATAATCCTATCTGTCTTGGTTATATATCTATGGATATACCTACCTCTACTTTTGTGATATTGGTACTTGATTTCAGGAACATTTTAATAATAAATTTATATAAATATTTTGTTTTATTTGAAATTTCCATGTCTCGATTGAGTTTTTACTATACCTCAATTTCTGCATCACTGTATTACATTACACAAAGAACAATATAGTGTGTCCATGGATTGACTTAATTATACTTGTAAAAATATTTATTTTAAATTAAAAAAGGTTATTTTTCATAATATCTTAATGTGAATCGAATTTATTTAACAAGTAAAAGAAATTATGAAGAATTACTTTTTTAATTTAAAATAAATATTTTCACAAGTATAGTTAAGTCCATCCGTGGACACAGTGTATAATGCTGTAGAACTAATTCACATTATAACATCTATAGAAATAATTCAGAGCAACTTTCAGGGTAAGTACCTTAAAGTGCTAGTGTGATGTTTTCCGAACTTCACTTTGTAACCTCTGTGAGATGTGCTATAAAAGTCTTGCCATTGCGGACATTTAGTGGTTGCAGGGATATTACGGTTACATTAAAAGTACATCGCATGTGAGCTTAAAGAGCCTAAAATTGCAGCTTATTAACGTAGATGCGATGTTTTTGTGCTAGCTGGGTAGTAATTAATTTCTAATAATTTTATTTGTCCTGACAATAGTTTATATTATAGCTATCGACGTTGTTTTACCCACCCAACACCCCTATTCTGTTCTTTTTACATAAAATTGTTAATATTAATTAAAAAAATGGTAATTTTTATTTAAATAATTATCATTATTATTTTGCACAAGATATGGAACTTATATGGGTGATTCTCGTGTAACTGCGATTTTTACAATTTAAATTTTTCTAACATTAAAAATGTTTTAAAACGTTTGTTCTTCGCGTTTTTATTTTCTATTTATTCACAAAACTAAGCCTGTGAACTGGTTTTACTACAGCTACAACACAACGAAAACTGTGACAAAATTTCAAAAGTTTAATGCCACGGTACTGACATATAAATGATTATTTTTTTTTTTACTAATCGAAAGATTGGTACAAAATTGCAATAAAATGCAATGCAGTATGCATTAGATTGTAGTTATAAGAGGTACATTTTATATTAAAAAATTAATTTTGATAGAAATTTATAAATTTAATTTTAAAAATAAGAATCGGACATGCCACGGTACTGACATTTCGAGTATATTTAGGTGCAGCTTAAAAAAATTTTGCGAAGGTTTATGATCTAATTCATAATGTCAGTTGTAAAATACCTCTAAATTTACAATATTAATAACTTTTTGATGAGGTAAACTTATATAAATCACAGTTATGCAAGAATCGCCCATATAGGTTTTTTGTATATAATAGCGATACCAAAATTATAAGTAATCATGCTTAGTTTTTAGGGTTCCTTACCCAAAGGGTAATCAACGTGACCCTACTACTAGGCTGTTCGACAGTCTGTCTGTCAGCGGGCTGTACCTCATGATCCGTAATAGGTAGACAGTTGAAATTTTCACAGAATGTGTATTTCTGTTACCGCTATAACAACAAATATTAAAAATAAATAAAAAATTAACGTGTTTTTTTTCCCATCTTAAAGTATTTAAAAAGTATCTACATAATATTAAATCTTCTACGAAGGTGCGAACCCTTCATGCGCGAGTCCGACTTGCACTTGGTCGGTTTATTTGATAATCGCAAAGAGGTCAGACTACTGTTTTATTAAAATACTGACCTACCCCAGCAACTTAAAGTAGATTACTATTGATTAGGTAGTTTTACTATGATATATTATTATTGTAAATAAATAGTCGCTATTATTTTTTAACGGCAAATAGTTTAAGAGACAATAATAAAATTGAAATTAGATAGTTGGTAAATGGAGCAGATTTTTCTATAATAATTATTAATGCACTAATAATAAGATTTACGTCGTAAAATCAAACCACGTGCCCATGTATGTATAATTTATAATAAATTTATTGTTATAAATAAAGCAAACTTAAACTTACCACATTTTATCAAACAAACACAAACACTGAAATACAAAATCCGAAAAACAAACATTATTTCTAACACTTTTTAACTGATTTGAAAACAACAAAAATAACTCGAGAGCATGAACTGGTCACTGATCTTTAAAAATGTTTAATGACCATCACCTCGTCAAGATTAACTAGGAATGGTAGATAATTCTAAACCACTAAAAACTGTTATTATCTTTAGAATAATCACCAATTGAGTAATTATATCAATGTTTGTAAGTCTTTCGTAGTCATTCAGAAGACAACATTAAATATTTACATTAATGATTTCAAACCACGTCCCAAATTATTTAGAATTCACTGTGCGATTTTTGAATAGCTGTTTTTAAGACATTTCAAATTTTAGTTGGCTTGTTTATCTCAGGTTTTTTTTTTGGAGTGACGTCGGTACTTTGTGGGAATATCTGAGTTTCAAGAATGCAGTACTAGTTTAATCAACCAGAGACGGATTTTCCTAAATTAAAATCATACTGTTCTACTAACGTACTTACGTACAACCGGTTGTGTTGTAAAATTATTATCCTGTTTTTATATGCGTACTACACAGAGTGACTTATTTTAAATTTCAAATAATACAATAATTATTGACAATAACTAACGTTAGAAAGATACATTCTGAAAATAAAATAGCAAAATATACGCTTTTCAAATGGCGACTTCGTTTTAAAGCTATTTATGTACCAATGGCGTATCCCAGCTAGTTCATCCGGGCCCTCATTTGCTTCTGACACGATGACGTGGTGTGGTGGTTTCGAAATTAGCTTCCACGTCAATCTCCTAAGCAAGCTCGGTTGCTTCTAAAATGATGCTTTCAAAAGCTTCATCTGATCTCAGGTTTTCAAAGAAGAGTTTGCAGTTTCTACGCATATCAATAGCTTGTGACATTAAAATTTACAGTTTGCAAAAGTTTGCTGATAGGGTTAATGTAGCGACATGCACTACATATCTTTATCATTTTTATTACGTCATACGAATTAAATTGTTGTCATCATTTAGACAACCTTTCGTGGCAGTTCTAGTAAGACAAAAGATTGAACTCATTGGGAGGGAAACAAGAATTGTTTATTTATAATTATGACTTTTGTTTTTTTTGATAATTTATATACATGTCATGACATCAAATTTTATTATACGAAATTATACTTTTATAAGTACATTTTTATTTATTGATGGGATACAATTATTACGAAGAGTATTATTATTAACATTTAAAAGATCCCACAATTTGGTGACCCCGAAGAATGCCCGACTTTCAAGGATTTTGCGGATACATCTGATTTATAGTGAGATACTTATTGGTTAGCGACGGCTTTATGTTTGGCCGTGCCTCGATATTTCGAGCCTGCTGCGGTATCCTATAACCCGGATTTTTAATTGGATCCTACAAGGAGGAACTGTGGATCCAGTACGCCCCCGAAAAATTCCGAAAAGTTCCGAACGAGATACATGGATTGGACTCCAGAAACATTAAACCCGGTGAGTTTAATCTTTTTGTCGCTGACTGCCACGAATTGAAGATATTCATTTATTTAATAAACTCTACAAATGACCAATTCTAATCATGACGACTTAATTACGAAAATAACGTACAAATTAACGAAACGCAAATGGGCACTACATAACCGAAGTCATGCAACTAGCATTTTTTATTACGGACCCTAATTGTCCAAATATATTTAATAGCATTTTTTATTACGAACCGTAATTATCCAAACATGCAACCATTAGTTTTATTAAGGACCTTAATTGTTCAACTACATGTAACTAGTATATTTAATATTGTTTACTCTATTAAGGACCATAATTGTCCCAGAGAACCATAATTGTCCAAAAGAACAATAAAATCAGTATTTACTTATATCTTGTATTGACAGTATTCTTCGCAAAAGGAAGAACCTGTCTGCATAATAGTAATTACTAAATAAAAACAAATAACTTATCAAATAGGTACATTTTTTGCACATTGATAAAAAAACAAATAACTGAATGAAAAGGAAATTTTAACTTACCAAATAGGCACATTTACACATTGATATTTAAAGAATAAAGACTTAAAAAAAAACAAAAAATATTTCTATTTGTACGTCATGATTAACATTACTTTTTATTAGATCGTAGAATTTTTTAACTGTTAATGCCTTATTATCGTTGGTGTTTTTCTATTTAGGACACTCACTGTCCTAATAGTATGGTAATTCTTAATTGTATCAATAGCAGTATTCTTTATATAATAGAAAGAACCTGCTAGATAACATAGTATTACTAAACACTTAACAACGTGGCAATAGAATGGATAATTTATCCAGAACACGATCTAAAACATAATAGTCCAATTAAATAACAAAAAAAAGCCCCTTCGAGCTTACATTAATTTGTAATTGGATGAAACAAAAAGGACCTTGTGTATTTTGATGTGATCTTTTTGAAAAAAAGAAAAAAAGCTTCCACGTCAATCTCCTAAGCAAGCTCGGTTGCTTCTAAAATGATGCTTTCAAAAGCTTCATCTGATCTCAGGTTTTCAAAGAAGAGTTTGCAGTTTCTAAGCATATCAATAGCTTGTGACATATTAAAATTTACAGTTTGCAAAAGTTTGCTGATAGGGTTAATGTAGCGACATGCACTACATATCTTTATCACTTTTATTACGTCATACGAATTAAATTGTTGTCATCATTTAGACAACCTTTCGTGGCAGACAAAAGGTTGAACTCATTGGGAGGGAAACAAGAATTGTTTATTTATAATTGACTTTTGTTTTTTTTTGATAATTTATATACATGTCATGACATCGAATTTTATTATACGAAATTATACTTTTATAAGTACATTTTTATTTATTGATGGGATACAATTATTACGAAGAGTATTATTATTAACATTTAAAAGATCCCACAGTTAATGACTTAAAATTTTGTACCAGATCACAACAGCATATAAATTTGAACTGCTTCAAATTATTTAATAATCCTCTGATCATATTATCGATTTCTGAATCTTCATATATGCTGTACAAAGCATCGTGAATTTGGCCAATTTGAAACCGCAGAGCTTTTAATGAGTCGACTCGACTTTCCCATCGCGTATCACTCAATGGTTTTAGGGTGTAAGTATCAATGTATTTCAGTAATATTGCCCAACGAAAAGAAGAGGAAGAAAAAAATGTATATAACTTTTGAATAATATTGAAGAAGTTGGCTGCCTCAAACGAGGATGTTGCCATATCGTTTACAACCAAATTTAGCGAATGGCTGCTGCATGGAACATAAAATGCTCTGGGATTTATATTTCTGATTCTTGTTTGTACTCCCGATTTTTCTTCTCTCATATTGGAACCATTGTCATACCTTTGATCGCGCATGTTTTCTACTTTAAGCCTATTTTTCTCTAGATCTTCTAGTAATACCTCCAACAATTCCTTAGCTGTTGATCTCTCAATGGGTAGAAAACCCAAAAAATGTTCGTTGAACTTCAGACTCTAATTCCTGTATGGAGACAAATCTTACCACAAATGTCATCTGTTCTACTTTACTTGCATCGGGAGTACAGTCAAGAATCACGGAATAATACTTGGCCTTTTTAACTTGCTCAATGATGTGGTGCTTCATGTTGTCATGCAATAATTCAATTATTTCATTTTGTATAGTTTTCCCTAGATATGTAGCTTTGATTTCTTCTTTATTGAGGACTCTGCGAACGTGTTCCTCTATTTTTGGATCAAACTCAGACAATAACTGAATTAACTTCAAAAAGTTTCCATTATTGTGTTCATACAATTTATCGCTTGTTCCTCGAAAAGCTAGAGAGCTCTCACCTAGCATTTTAACCACTGATATAATGCGTAAAAGAACTTCAGACCAGTGATTTATCTCAGAATTAATGAATCTCTGAGAAACTGCATCTATTGTTTCACCCATTTTTAATCTTTGCTTCAATTCAAGCCATGATTTCAAACAATCTATATGAGTTTTAGCATTTCCATGATGTGCTAAAGGGTCCCCTAAATGCTTCCAGTCTTTAAATCCACAATTGTCAAGAGCGCTCAAGCTAGATAGTGCAGCAAAAAGTCGACATGGAAAACAGTACAAAGCGTTTTGAAATACGGAATATACCATACATTCTCTTAAAACCTCTTCTCCATTTCTAAGCCTTTTCTTGTAATGTTTTGGTGAGAATCTTCTATGCTGATCATCAAAAGGAAAATCAAAATTATACAAAGGTGCAGCTGGACCACGTTTAACCAAAAAAACTCTATCTGCTGCACGCATGATTTCGGGCCATAATCCTGGGTCAGAAGAGATACTTTGGACTGTAGCCTTTTCTAAATATTTCTCTGAGGTCTGCACAACTTGCGAATTTTGATTTTTGGAACTGCACGGAACTGCATCACTACTCGCCAAACTCGTTTGAGATGACTTACCCAGCTCAGTAATGCTGACGGTTGCGTCCAAAGGGGGGTCCATATCCGGAAAGTTAGTATCTAGGTGCTGGGCGTTGTTCAAATGTTGGTCGGTTGTGGGAGCGTTGAAACTACCTTCTTTCAAGAAGCTCTGCAGCGCATCTGACTGTTTTTGAAGCTGTGTTTGCTTGTTCGATCTCCGCTTTTAAATTCGCTCCCAGAGGGTTTTCTCTTAGCATCGGACATTTTGGTTTCTGGAACAAATTAATTAAAATAAAAGATAATACTGATATCAAAAAAAGCCATGATTTGATTTAAATTATAATTTCCGAAATCCCCCTTGTGCGCCACTGGCCTAAAAAAATGTATTTTATTCAACTTCAGACTCAATTACCTTTCATTCGATACCACACAAGCCATGATTTGATTTAAACTCTAATTTTCGAAATCGCCCCCCCCCCCCTTATGCGTCTCTGATTTAAAAAAATGTATTTCATTCAACTCCAGACTCAATTACCTTTCATTTGATACCACACAAGCCATGTTTTGATCTAAACTCTAATTTTTGAAATCTACCCCCACCCTTTTTTGGGCTAGTTTGATGGATTTTTTTAGTTTTTAAAAATGAAAACAAAAATTAAAACACTTACCTTCACAGAAGCCAAACGCACTGGACAATTTGCACAAGCACTTTTTTAAAGCTTTTTTGCACTAACAATTTAAACAAACTATTTTATTTCGCACCAGCCGAAGTCTAGTGGCAAATAATGCATTGTTTTAAGTCTACTTTCTTTTTATTTGCATTTAAAAAGGGCTGTTAGATCTTGTTTCGCTTGGTTTCAAAATTGTTGTTTCCTGTACAGTCGTGTTGCCACGGGCCGAAAAACTTGTCAATTCTTGAAAAGCGGTGGTTGAGTGGTTTTGTCATGTTGAATTGAATTCAACTAGATTTGCCTTAATGTTTAAATATATTATATTATTTGAATTATGTGCTTAGAAATAAAAGTGATAAATTCCGCCTGCCGCCTCTTAATCTTGTCAACTATCAGTCAAATCTTGCAACGCGTTTTTGAGAAAATTCCCGTGAACCGATTTCAATGAAATGTGGTATACTTACAAGGGTCCGATTACAATGCAATATTATGAAAAATAATTTATTGATATGATATCAGAATGATAAAAAAATATTCTTTACTTTTTAGTGCATTTT